ATTACTACCCAAACAGGATTTAGAATCTTTTATTGGAGGTAAACCTCTCTGCATTTCTGTCTCCTTCCATACACAGCTCTCAAAGTACTATTCTTCACCCCCCTGGAAATGTAGGATATTAGTTCAATGACATTTTCCACCCTCCTTCCACTTCCAGTCTCTGCAGTAGAGTAGCTGCTACGCAAGGGTGTTTGGCATTGTATCTCTCACAGATTTCCTGCCACTGACTCTGCAGCCTGTGCTAACAATGTTTGATGGCGGGTTGTACATCCTGTCTACTAATGAATGAAACATCGGGGATGTTTTAGAATCATTTGGAGAACCATCTGTCCTCCACTCTTTCCTGTGCTAGAGTTTTCCTGTTTGGTGGCTTTCCTGCCTGCACGTATTCAAGAAGCAGAACGGCTTGTCCCCCCTCCCCTCGCTGGTTGCTGTGGGCTGCTGTACACTTTGGCGTCTTTGGAATGCTGCTTTTATTGTTCTCCAAACAGCAGTGCTTGATGACTAGAAAAACCTCTGCCAAATACCAGCAGGTGGTCTGCAGAGCTTAGATCTGGTTTAGACCTAGTAGTTGCTTTCAGCAAGCCTCTTAGCCCTCTTGATGCTTTCCTAGGGAGAAGCTGCCTGGCAACAGGCAGTACCTGAGTCTCTGCTGGCAACGTATTTTAGCAGGAGTCTTGCTGTCCTTGGCAGGGGATTAAGAGAGTCGGGTACTTTCATTTAGTTCAGTTATTGAGTTATCCATATTTATAAAGACTTGTAAACATTTTAAAATAGTGAAATGTTTTGCTGTTACAACAACCATCACAGGCCTCTATTAAGTGAGCACTTATTTTTATTTAGTCTACCGTGTTTGCTAGTACAGCAACTAAAAATCACAAAAGCTGAGACTTCCAAAAGGCCTTCCATCACAGACAACATTTTCTTGAACCAAAAACATCAAAATACTGTGCTGAAGGATTTCCAGCATTTCACAGGATTGAAATGTTCTGGGACCCTGTACTATTTTTGTGTGCCTTCCCAACCTGCAGGCAGAAGTAGTTATTCCTTAATCCTAAGAACCAACTTTGCTGGCAGTACCCTGAGCTTCTAAGTAGACCTGCAATCTGTCTAACAATAGCCAGTTTTCTAAGCTAGACCTGCCTCCCCAGGCAATTGAGTAGAGCTCTTAAGACTGTATATAAAAGTGGCTCCCACTTACTTCCAATAATAATTAAACAGGTTCATGCCTCTAACTGATTAAAATCAGATACAGACAAGGCAAATGACAGCACATGGTTTTGGCGCAGAAGGGTGTTTAACTGATCAGTATGGAGAACAGTGCACTTGGGGTTTTTCCGTGTGGCTTTGCCTCTTGAAGGCTGAATATTTTTTGTTTTATGTTCTTTAATCTAGGTCTTGCTTGTCTTAGGAACCCAGCTGGATCTTTCTTCTTAGGAGGGTGGAGGGACAAGTAATGAGATGAGCAATTTCTTTCTCAGTTTTATGTCTGTGTGGGCCTGATCCAGCTTGTCTGATGTCAGCAGTCCCAGCACAGACAATAGGGCATGATTGACTTCCTATTTCAAGAGATTTTAGATTCCTTTCAAAGGATGTGGGTGGAGAGTTGGTATACTGGGATTCCGTGCTTGACCTTCTTAATGAGTGCGATTTGCTTCTCCCGATGTAGGATGAGATGGAAGTGTTGTGGCATTTATCTTTCAGGCTGGATCCTTATAGACCGTTGTGGGAAACATTTTGGGACGATTTTAAATTATCTTCGAGATGACACGATTGCGCTTCCAAAAAACAGGCAGGAGATCAAAGAGCTGATGGCAGAAGCCAAATATTACCTCATTCAAGGCTTAGTAGACTTGTGTCAGACAGCCCTTCAGGTAAGCTACGGCAGCAGCCTGTGGGTTTTTTTGCTTCTAAAACTTACTCTGGACGTCCTGTTTTGTGTGCTTTGTGGGGCTGATGCACGTCCTGGCAATGTTTCATTGGCCTAAATATCAAGTTTTGGATGCCAAGATCAACAAGTTTGATTTCCATCTTCATCATCTTCCCGAGCTGAGAAACATACCAGTACTGTTTGCTCTGTGTGCATGTTCTCATCTATTGTTCATGGGACACTAGATTCTGTGATGCTTCTTGTAAGGGAGAATTTGGATTATCATCTTAGACAAAATATCCCAGTCCATCTCCCTGGTGTACTGCTGCCCTCCATACCAGAGATGGCTGCATTTTTGTCAGGGCGAGGGGTGGGCGGGAGATGTGTATATTTATATCCTAGCACTTAGGATTCGGATGTACTATCGTCATGTCCCAAAGGAAGGACGGTCCAGTGGTTAGGCTATACTAGTACTGGATTTGGGAGACATGAGTAAGTCTTTGCAATGCCAAAAACTTACTTTGTGCCCCTGGACAAGTCATTTAGCCTGTCACTTGTAAAATGGTGGTAACAGCACTTCCCTAACTTGCAGGGATATTAAACAAACAGATATGGTAGAGTCTCAGATACTTCTACAGTGGTGAAGGCTATCTGGTAGGTAGGCCTTTCTTTTGTTTTGGTGTACATTTCCTCAAGAAGCCAGTAGTTAAGGGTCTGAGTTCCTACAGCACAAAAAGAAATTAAGGAATGGGAATTTGCAGGTTGGTACCATATCCTGAAATCCACTGAATTAAAGTCCCAGTTATTTTGAATTCGGGCATTGTAAAAGATTTGATGGCTGTTGCTTTACAGTGCCGTGTGTAATACCATGTGAACAGAATGAGTGGACACTTTTCAACATTTATTTTTTTTTCCTAGTTTCTATAGTGGGTGGCCGGGATGCCATGTTTAAAAGTGTACAGGCAATTTCCCTTCAAGTTTGAAGATTAAAACTCTTCTTGGAAAAAACACATGTCCTAAGATTGGCCTCAGTTATTGAACTCTTTGATTCCAGCTGCCTTACATAGAAAATTAGTCTGTGATCTTGTTGCTTGCACTACAGGGAGTTTGAGGAGTAGGAGCTGTGTTACTCAGTGAATGTCCAGTGCATCATGGTTGATCCTTTATGTACAGCAATGTTTTAAGTTGATTAAAACTTCTTCAAACTCTACTCATCTTCTTGAAGGAGCCTAAGCGATAACCCGCTTAACGTAAGCCCACAGTGGGCTTGCAGTCATTGCTGTACCTAGGAATGACGTTCACTTGCATCCAAACGCTTCAATTATTCCTGCCTTTTGGGAATAAAAAATGTCTCTGCTGTATTTCTGGGTTGCAGCTCAAAGGCAGTGTTATATGGTTACTATAGCAACTGGGAGCTGTTTCTCTGCATTGGAGGATTTGGGAACGTGGTGCGAGGGTCTGGTGAGGAAAGCAGGAAACATTAGTTTCATTATTATGCCCTTGATTTATTTATTTATTTTTATTTTAAATAGGACAAGAAGGACTTGTATGAACCTGTCTGTAATATCCCCATCATTACATCTCCAAAGGAAGAAGAGAGGCTCATAGAATCATCTATCAAAGTAATTGCTTTTCCACAACCTCCTACTGAATTTGTACCAAAATCTTTCAAATAGTTTCAGGTCAACCTTTCATTTTCCCTATTTTTCTTCTCTCCCAACAGCCTGTAGTCAAGCTGCTTTATAACAGGAGCAACAACAAATATTCCTACACCAGGTATGACAGTTCTGTTAATAATATAAAATCCTCTTGGCTAGTGGGAGGAAGTTTGCTGGGGGATGGTTTTTCTTGTTTATACCAGCTGCAATTTTGAATGTGTGTGCTCTTAAATGACTCCACTCTTAGTGAGAAGAAGTCAGAGCCCTTGCACTCCAGTGTGAAAAGCATCATGTGGAAATGCAGTATGTCTAGTGGGGGAGAGTGGTAGGGATTCTCTTTCTCTCTGAGAAGGATGAGATTTATCAGTACTTGCCAAATCTGGGCATAGTTCAGGCAGTGCAGCGTAAACTTCCACCTGCACAATGTGACACTAATAAGGTCGTGATCCATGCCTCCCTCTGAATCCCATTCTGGCGTCTTCTGCCAGCGCACCTCTGTCCTGACCTCCCTGCTATACTCCCGTGCCTTCACTCCTCTCTAAATCACTTAGTTATGTAGCCAGAGAGAAAATGCATAAAGGAAAGATAGGAAAGCATCTCTTCAGGCCAGAAAAATCCTGAAGACCAGTGTTGCTATTCTAATGCATAACTATACATTTTGGCTTCCTGGGCAAAACTTTGGGGGAAGTGGAGTGAATGTTCCTGGCAGTAGGAGCTGAGTTTAGGAACACTGCCTGGCCCTAGAAGCTGACTTGGAGCAGCTGGGCACCCCCTGGCCATAGGAGGGTCTTTAACCTGCCCAGGGACTTGGATACCTCCTGCCTCCCAACTATATCTGGCTCTTATGGCCAGGCAGCACAAGGCTGCTCCTGCTCGGTTCCTAGGGCTGGGTGATGCAGAGCTGCTTCTGCTGTGTCCTGCCATGCAGCTCCTAAAGCCAGGCGATGCTGTGCTTCTCCAGCTCAGCTCCTATGGCCTGAGCAGGTAGGGCAAAGACTCTGAGGTGGGGGAGGGCATCATTCTAGCACTCTGTTCAAGCAGCTGCCCCTCTGCCACTGCTTATAATCCTCTTGCCTGAGGGCTCTGGGTTCTTTGAGATCAAAGATTGAAGCAATTTGAAATGTCCTGAATTGTGTATGAAGAATCTTAGCCATTTGCTTTTTCAGGCTGACACACAATTACGGGAGCTCTGTCAGCCTCCTTATTCTCTAGAGAGAGGGATTCTAACAAATAAGTAATTACTGTGCTAAATAAAACCATAGTCAACATATCATGTAATGAACTTGGGCACTGGGCATTGTATAGCTGTTGATCGCTGATGTAACAGCTTGATAAATTGTGACATTTGTCCTCTAAAGGCGGGTACATTTGGTCATGGGGTGCAGAGAATCTTATTTGTGTCTCCTGTTGGCCATTATCTTCCCTTTCCTTGGTAATGCCCAGCAGTGAGTCACCACTTATATTCTCCAGTTAGATTAATGCTTGCAGCTCTAGTGGGGTAGGCCTATTAAGCCTATGGTGCAGGCTAGCAGCTAAACTACAAGAACCTTTTAACTGGCTTTGGTGTATTTCAGCAATTCGGATGACAACCTATTGAAGAACATAGAACTGTTTGACAAACTCTCTCTCCGCTTCAATGGCCGAGTCCTCTTCATTAAGGATGTTATAGGGGATGAAATCTGCTGCTGGTTCTTCTATGGACAGGGGCGGAAGCTTGCTGAGGTCTGTTGCACATCTATAGTCTATGCCACCGAGAAGAAACAAACCAAGGTACCAGGGTTCGATCTACTTGAATCTTATGGGTAAATAGCAAATTGGTAGCATTTTCCATAGCCATTCACGTTCTCTCTTTGGCTGGGTCACAAGGGGTGTTTAAAATCATGGCAGGAAAGCATCAACCTCAGTTCACTGAGGGGATGGGTGATGGCATTGATGGTCAGTGGTGGAGAGCAACTCTATGGCTAACTAAATGCCTCCTTTTCTGGGTCTCTTTGCAACCAAAAGATGTTGATACTTGAATGGAGTTCAGAAATGAGCAAAGTATGGTTAGGAAGCTGGAGGGAGTAATGTAGGAGAAAGAACTGAGGGTAGAAAATTCAAAATACCTGAATGACTTATGAGCATAGGTTCCATTGAAAGTTAATAGAACTTTTGTGCTCCTAAATCACCTGAAGCGTGTTTGAAACTCTCCCTGCCTTAAAATAAGGCATTAATTCAGTTTCCAGTTGCATCAGTTATGTGACCATAGAATAATGGTAGACTTCTCTTGGTTTGAGCAAAATCAGACCCCTAACCATGCCAGTTTGACTAAACAGACGCAACTGGTGGAAAAGCATAATGCTTTCCAAAGACTGAAAAGATGCATCAAAAAGGGAGAACAATTGTTCGGAGTAAAACAAATCAGAATAACTTGCTTTCCTTCTTGTGTCCTTGTGACAAGGTAATCTGACAGGGCCGTGTGATGACCGCTTCTGCTATGGCCTGAATAACTGAAACTAGCAGGATGAAATTTAACTAAATTAAAATCTGGTGATCCACTATTGATTATAATGTTAAAAATCCAGAGCAAGTCTCCTGACCCCTGTCGTAACTACTGGCTTACATGGGTGTGAGCAGAAAGAAGCTCGTATGTTGCACTTCAGTTTCAGAAATGAAATTTCCCAACAGAGAAATGTGTTAGACTCTGGAATAACTTTGTAAACGCAGAGACAGATGATCGGGTGGTTGGGACATCCAAGTTTAGGCTGGTGAAAGTACTAGTAGAAGGTATTAAGAATAGTCTTTACCCAGGGGAATAGGACCAGATTTTCAAATGAAGGCTAAGGCAACAGTACAGAGGCGCCCTCCATACTATTCCACCTGGTTCAAGAAATATGTGGGTTCTCTTCCGTAGGTTGAGTTCCCTGAAGCACGTATCTATGAGGAGACACTAAATGTCTTGCTTTTTGAAACTCCACGAGTTCCTGATAACTCCCTGTTGGAGGCAACGAGCCGGAGCCGAAGCCAAGCCTCTCACAGTGAGGACGACGAGGGCTTTGAACTGCGAGACCGAGTCCGTCGCATACACGTCAAGAGATACAGCACCTATGATGACCGGCAGCTTGGCCACTAGGATATTGGCAGAGGAGAAAGGGTTTGCTTTGTGTGCTTGTTTGTAGAGCATAAAGACTGGATGTTTTTGTGTGAGAAGTTTGGCTGAGACGCAGGGGGTGGACTGTTGGACTCGCTGGTTGAGAAGCAATTAGCATCTTTGCACACAGATTCAAAGCAACACTGAAGGCCAGAGGATTCAAGAGTCACTGATGTGTCCGTTGTGTACCACACGGTGTAAACAGAGCAGCATTCACTGTGTTGCGCAAGGGATGGGATCCCCGGACCCTGTCTCTTCTGGCAGCTACCAGTCACCTTTTTGTGAGAAGCTACAAATTTTTCCTCAAGATGGTGATTCTGTTTGCAAGCTTTTCTTTATCCAGAGCCTTCTGTTACAGTTCTGTACCTTGAATATGTAGGATAGGAAAGAGGCTGGGGTAGAGTTGAACACTAGCTCCTTTTGCAGACACTACGCCCTCCAGACCTCATTATCTTCTTGTGAAGCAAGCAGTTGGACTCTCGGGGCTATATGCAGAATGTTTCTGTATTAAGATCACTTTTGAGCCTTAAACTCCTTGTCCTGCCTCACTATAAGCCAGGATCTTAAGGGAAAGCAAGAGTCAAGCTAGCAAATTATCCCTTTGTGGAAAAAGGGAGGAACTTGGAGAGCTCAGTAAAATAAACATGAAATGATCTGATAAGAGGGGTGGGGGTGGGAATGGGTGTGGTAAAGTTTACAAGAAAGGGAGCATTAAGGTGGGATCAACCTCCTGTTGGGCCTGGAATATGTGTAGATGAACCCTGAATATAGAAATCATGGGAATGTGGGGAATCGCTCCAGAATTAGTTGCTGCTGCTTTCCTCTTAGTTACACCACTGTTAGGATGCGTTTCTTAAGTTGTGTGTGGGGAGAACAGGGTGATTGAGGCAAATTTTAATACTCCTCACTGGCTAATGGTGAAGTACAGACCAAAGGGAGCTTCCTAGTGCTCAATAAGGCTGGTGTGCAGGGGGCAGTACCTGTGTTTCTATTCTGATTTCCCTCTAAGGCAAGGAAATGGGAGTGGGGGAATGAGAATAGCCACTGAAGCTTGGGTGCTGTAGGGTGAAACAGGACCAAAGGGCTCAGCCCAAGGGAAGACTCCTTTTACTGAATTTTAAACAATCTCTGTAGCTGAGAATTGGTAGAACTCCTGATCAGAAAATTTTAGAGAGTCAAATAGCTGTTTTTCAACATATTGTAAAGGGAAGAGATTTCAGGCGTGTACTCCAGAATGTGGCTTCTTCCCTTACTGAGTTAACATGATATCTGTGTGAGCAAAGAGTTTTTAAGGGCGTAGATGTGATTTATCCAGTGAGAAATGATTATGCTCAAGACTGGGTAAAAGCTTAAGGGTTTAACTTTTCTTAAGCTTTGCTGGCCACTTGCCTCAGTCCTTTTGTTGGAGGGCCCCCTTGAGCGCTGCAGGTTTGATTGTATGCTATGCACAATTAGCCACGTGCCCGGTATTCAGGGTTGTTTCAGTGCAGGTCAGTTATTTGTTTGGCAAACAGGAAAAATTGTCACCTGTCTAGACTTGTTTTTTCTTGTGTGCCCTGGGATGATGGTTGGTAGTATTTTACCTAGGCTGACCTTCCTATGCTGAGAATGTTTTCCCTGTTCATTTTTCAGGGAAAAATGCAGAGTCTTTGCACATTGCAACGGAGAGGACCTTATAAGCATAGACCACTATCTTACCCGCTGATGGACTTCAGCCCCTCTACGCATCCAATTCCTTTAGATTCTTCCACTAAAGACTATGAGTTATGGAGTTAAATTAATGCTTTCCCACATCATCTTAACTTAATCACATAGGGCAAGCTATCAACTGAACTGGAGAACTTGGCGTTAGCATGTCAACATTGGGAGTAAATCGCTGCGCTCAGTGACGTAGTTTCACTGGTGCGAACTAAGCACAGAAAAGAGCATACTGGAACTTGCACCAGCTTGGGTAACTCAGTCTTACCTCCTGTGAGGGGCAAACCCCTGTCTGCCCTAAGGTTAGCACTAGTTCAGGTACACTGACTGCTAGCCACCTGGCCTGCACAGGGTCTTTTGAGTGGCGAGTTTTGCCAAATTGAAAGATCCTTATTCAAGTAACTTGCATGTCTTAGGATTTGGCCCTTTGTAACTGCTCAGAGCGACTGATATTTGCCTCAAAGGGAAAAGAAAGATTTATTTCACAGGCTTTATAAAATATGAGAGGGTTTACATTGACTTCAGAGTCAGAATGCAGAGAATAAATGAGGTTGTGAGACTAAATTAGTATCCAAATGTAATGAAACCCTTTAAAACCCAACCTATTCAGCACATTTAGTGTTCTTTCTAAAGACAAAGCCCAATCTAGAGCAGTCTGGTTAGACAAGAGATTTTGAGTACTGTAATCATGTAAAGATTTATTTTTCTTACAAATTCATTAAATAGTACATGCCTGTTTTTAAAATTATAGCGTATTCAAGATAGTGTCTAGTATGATTTTATTTCCCTAGATGTAGTCAAGATGCACATTAAGGAAAAGAGCTAATTGTTTTAACTATTAATTTGAAAATGAAATGTATCAATTTCTGATGGGGAGACTGCATCCCTTTGGGTAACAAGTTAAGCCTACCTACAAGAGAGCAGCTGTTCAACACCACCTTCAATTGGGCCTGTTGAGCAGTCACAAGTTGGGTTTGTAAAGTCATTAACTTTTTTCTTTTTTCTTTAAATCTGTTAGACTCCTAGCTCTGGGTCACCAATTCAGATCCACTAAACAGTCAGCCTGGTTCATGGGTCTTAGTTTAGTTCCCAGTAGCTAGGGTTCAATGTTATAAATGCCTTCATCACAATTGGCCATACATGGCTTCTTTTACCCTCTAACAGTGATCTTTTCATATTTGCTGTGAAGGAGTAGGGGAAGGCAGTGGGGAAGTGCGGTATGCGACTGCCCGTACTGTGTCTGAATTTCTGTGGTCCTCAGGACTGTCAGGTTGGCATTTCCTTCATCACTGCTAAATCATTTGCCAATTTAAAAGCGAAACTTGGTGGGGTTGTTTTCCTGCAAAGTCTGTTTTAGCATTTACTATGCAACTTTGCTGTAGTTTGCACTGGGCTGGACAGGGGTTTTGGTAGGCCACGTTTGAAAAGAATGGCAGGGAGTGCCCTCAGATTTCTTGTTTTAAAAACAAGATGGTAGGTATTTCGGAGAAAGCCAGTAGTCGCTACAGAATCCCTGTGGTTGTTACCTAGTCAAGCCTCCTGCATGTGGAAATGGATCCCTTTAATTCTCCTTGCATTCAGAAACAAGTGTTGTCACTGTAATGCACCTGCCTTTTTATGAAAGGACTCTTTAAACACTAATTACAAATAACCCACTTTCCATAAAGTCTTGTTTACCAGCTGGTTTTGATAATCACAACAGTGGAAAAAATAGTGCAGAGACTTGTTTAGACTAATGCTTTGGAGGTTTTTGAATTGTCACACTGG